TTTTCTCATCCACTTTTTACATATTTTTATTCTGTTCTTTGCCAGTTTTTCTTTCAAACAAATATTATTATTTTCCTTTTTTTATTTTTACTATGGATTATTTTTTATTTTTTTTTCCACTTTCCCATGTTTTACAACCCCCTTTCGTTGTGCTTCGTTGATACTACATAAGTTGTTGTCTAATAGTTTTGTTGTTGCATTGTTGTTATTGTTATTGTTGTTGTTATTGTTGTTGTTGTTGCTGCTGTTACTGTTGTTATCTGTATTTTTCGCTCTTAATATTGGTCATAAGCCACGCCCTAAACTTGTACACGTAAGCGCAATAACAAGAACAAATGTTTGAAAATAAAAAAAAAAAAGAAATAGAGTTCCCAATTCCTTGAAGACACAAAAAAAAAATTACCAAGATACAAAATACAGGACAGTTGCGAATTAAGTGTTGTCCTTACAGTAAGTACATTAAATGGTTAGTCTCGATTTCTGTACTTATCATTTGCATACATACTTTGTATTGTATCTCGGGAATGACTTACTGATATGCTCGTATGTAGTCAGTCACAAACCCAATGAACAATTTGTGATAGATTATTTACAAAGCTTTTAGCATTTATGCGGCAAAATAGATGAGAAATAACTGGGGGCTATTAGCACCAAATGTGTATACGTGGCAGACTTTCAACGTTTTTTAGTTTAGAACCGGAAAAGAGTCAGCATTCAAGAGTTTGGAAGTATGACGTTACAAGTTGTAGGTCAAAATTAATGTAATAGAATAGAATAGATTATAAATTATATAATAATACGACTTAATAATATTATATATTATAATCTATAATATAATAGAATTTAAAAAATATAATAGTATTTGAAATATTCAATAATAGTATTAAATTGATCGTATATTGGTACTAACTACTAAAATTTATATGTACAAAAAAGTCTATTAAATTGGGAGTTTCGGATTAACTGGTAAATAATTGAAATATGACTCTAAGTTTTTGCGGATATCATTAGAGAGCCAGTCAATATCTTTAATTTTTAATAAAAATATAATAATTTTTCAAAACCTAAGTGTATTTGCATTAAGTATATTTCAGCATTTCAACTTGAAGAATGAAACCAGTATGTAGATTATGTGATATATATGTGAGATATATGTCTAAATGTATAATAAAACAATATTATATTCAGTTAGATAAACACCATTTCAATTATAATAATATATAATGTATTATATTTATGCATTTATTATTATAAGTTTTTGTGAGTTCATTAGAGAGCCAGCCAATATCTTTAATAAGATAACGCTTAAGTATATTTGTATTAAGTACATTTAAACATTTTAACTTGAAGAATGGAACCAATTTGTATATTATAGATATGCATTAGATATGATTTACAGATTGGTATAATAAAGCAATATTATATGCAGTTAGATAAAAACCTTTTCAATTATAATCATATATAATATTTACGCAATTATATATTGTTAATTTTAGTTAGATTATAATATAACACTACATAAATATAATTTATATAGATTAAATTTTTTTATTCATTTTCTTCTTAATTCTTCTTAATTGTAGTTTTTCCTTCTTATTATTGAATTTTGCAATAAAACTCAATAATTTCTTCATTTACATGACTAATCCAAACTGTAACATAGATGTTTGGAAAAATTACTGATCCATATTTATAATAACTATTCTACAATCATAAAGCTTACGGCAAGAACGGCATAATGTACTATCAAAAACATATATAGTGTGGGGAATCCCATACATAACTTATCTAGAATTCATAATAACTAAAACACAGCCTTAATGTTTCCGACAAGAACCTCAGATATGTACCATGTATTATCAGAAACGTATATACCAGAAGAGAACTTTTAAAAATGAATTTAGAAATGAATTTTAATTGCTAAAAACAAAAAAAAAACAAAAAAAAAAAAAAAATTATATGCACTACCAAATCCCCCCTCCCACTTTGTTTAAGGGTCAGTAAATTATAATTGTCGAGTTGGAATACATATTGAAATTCATATTCTTTTAAATATTATTTAATAGATTCTTAAATAAATATTGAACTGTCTTAGTTTTTTAAACAAATGCGATTATATATATTAACTTCAAACATAAATTGAAGAATGCCGACGGAAAAGCATTATTAAAAATTGATAAAATTAATTTTAATTATTTAATATATTACAGTGATTTCTAAACATATTTAAATTAAATAAATTTTTTTATTTTAAAAATCATTTAAAAATTTCTTCAAGTACCAACTAAAATTTACTACTTAGCAAGGGCACTACGTCATCTATAATAAGAAATTTTCCGACATAAACGTAGCATAAAATTGCAAGTCTCTTTGCGATATTAAAATGCATGTTTACATGTTGCGGCGAACATACAAGCATTAGCCAGTTTCAGCGCAATGAATACTTTTCCTCTACTTGAAGCTACTCAACATCGCCTCACTTCTCCCGCTTAACAATTTTCACAACTGAAAATCGCTTATAAAATTGCTGCTGTATTATCCCAAGAAGCAGATAGACAGACAGACAGTAAAACCAACAAGCAATCCAGCCGGTCTTTGCGAATGCATGCTATGCGGTAGAGTTACTCTGCGTTCGTTGCGCATATTTGCGCAAGCAAAGTGAAATAGCAATAGTTTTTATTTTATATGAATGTATGAGTGTATAAATGTATGAGTTAAAAATGCAGCAGCTCCACAAACGCACGAGCTCACTTTACTCACTTCATTGCTGAGCAAATTTTGAGCATTATTCTGTAAAATGATGGAGGGGAGTTGAGTCGTGTTACCTCACTGTTTGTGCCCGTTTATTTATTATTATCTGTGTACAACTTGTTTCTTGTACCAAAGAAAAGAAAATAGGATAGGAAAACGGAGCTCTCCCAATGTACCATAATCTTTAGTAATTCTTTTTGTATTTCATTTTTTTATAACATTATTTTCTCCTAGAAGCGCATTTATTGCTTTGTTTTGTATTTTATGCTACTGTACGGTAAAGCTGTTCGAATGGCAATAACAGCAACAATAACAACAACAACAACAACAACTATGGCAAGTAAGAGTAAATGCCAGTAGTAAAAAACAAATGTGGAATTTGCTATAACAAGGATATTTAAGGAGTTGATTTGCATCCCCTACTACTCCACCTCTTTGCAGTAATCAACCATACTTGTTTTAGTTGTTGTTGTTATTGTTATTGTTGTGTGCTTTCATCACCTTTCACACATTTTTTTGCAACTATTTCTACTTTTGTTGTTTGTTGTTGTAGTGTATTTTTTCATGTAGTGATTTCATTTTTTCATGTTTTCTTGGTTTTATTTTATTGTTGGGAGTTCTACGAGCACACAACTTGTAAGACATGTTTTTTTTGCTCCTTTGTGTGTTTGTTTTTTCTTATTTTTGTTTTTTAGGGTGGGAATTGGGTTGGAAGCCTACTTTAAAGTTCGTGTTATTGGAATTGGGATTTAAATTCGGTTTGATGATTGTCGTGCGTGTGAACGGATGGTTTGCCCGTATCCTTGCGCTGACTTAATTTAGGTGCTTAGACGAGTTTAGTTAATATTATCGCGTTGTTTTTAGTGTGGTATTTTTGTTTTTTATTGGAGTTTTTGAAGATTTTTATTTTTTTTCTTAAGAACTTTGTCTACAGTTTATATGTTTTATTTCAAAGTTAGTTTTTTGAATTGTGTTTTCTAAAGAATACTTAACATTCTTTTTTGAAATGATTGTGTTTTGCTTTCTAACGTTACCCTACAACTATTTTTAAGGAATCTTTAAAAGAATCTTCTAAAAGTATTGCACGCGAATATAAATCAGACACTCTATAACATTAATTTTCTATTTAATGAACAATGCTCTAAAATATAGTTTTGGAAATATGAACTGTTTATTATTAATAAGCTATTTAATAATTTTTGAGTCCACCGACTTCAGATATATCAAAAGTGGAAAAAAAAATACGTAAAAAGCTTAAATTGATTTTTTATATTCAATAAATTAATCAATGTAAATTTAATCCGATGACTTTTATATAAAGGAAGCTATATGCAATCATATATTACAACAAACACGTTAATTTCTAAATTTTAATATGGTCGTACCAACTTGAAGAGGCAAAAAATGACGTGACGGATAACCAAAAATAACCCAATGATAACCAAAAAAATTTAAAAACTAGTTCAGGTCATTGGTGCCTACCTATATTTAAGAAATATGTTATTACACGAATGTATAGGTGCCCCTTTTAATGAAAAAATTTAACAATCTAAGCATTTCCATAACTCCGAGAAAACGATTAAAGCTAAACGAATTGCACCTTTTGTACAGATTTGTAATTATCGTTGATATACAATTATAGATATACAATTTGAAGGTCGTAACAACCAGGAAGCATTTCATTTAAAAAGAAAAATTTGAATTTAAAAAACCTTACTATTACATTTTAAATTTTCCGCAATCGTTATTACTCAACTTCATGAAATTTTTTTTTTCTAATTCTTAAAAAGAATCATAACATCTGGCCCCCAATAACTCTTTTTTTTATTCCTAAAAATAAACAAAAACTTAAAACCATTACTATGTCGAATCAAAAACTATTGAAAAGCCCCCCGAATATGTTCAGAAAATAGTTTCTAGACATTAGTTAAATACTTTTATCAATTGAAATCACGATTATACTAAAATTTCAACACAATGGATTTGATATTAAATAAGTATTTTCAAGTCATTCCTATAGAAAAAGAATTCTACATGGCATGTATTTGATGGATTCCTTTTTATATAACAATTATAGTAAACTACAAAGACTTCTATCTTTGTTTACAATAATTTATATTTGAACCACTAATGTACTCACTATCAACATTATTAATAGACATTAAAAAAAATTCATGTATTTCACTACAAAAATTTATTACATTTAAAAATTTAAATTAACATCAAAAATAAAACAAATTTTATCCTAAACTCATATTTTCTTCAATTAAGTTATAGAAAAAGATAAAGTGGATCTGTCACTAGATCGTCACTTATCAACATGAGAATTTGGAACAAAATCAATTACTGTGGAGATTTCTGTGCAAAGAAACTCAATTAATTCATTCTTTTCTTTTACAAAGTGCTCCAATAATTCTATTTTTTTCTCAGCTTCTTCCAACTGTTTCTTCATGGTATTAACTGAGCTAGCAGTCTCTAAGAAGGTAGTATAAGATATCCTTTTTGGATGAAGTTTCTTTTTCCCATCATTAGTTTCTACATTGGGAGTTACTAAAACGCACTCTTCATCTTTGTAATGTGACTTCTCTCCGTAAGCAAAGTTCAACTCCTTCATACGTTCCACTTTCCCTTTCTCTAACATCATGACACAATAAAGAAGGGCTTCTATTTTTCCGGGTACTGCTTTTGCTAACATTTCCATTTGTTTTTGGCTAAGACGCACAGAGATTTTGACTAAAACTTTTACATTTAATGTGCGCCAATTATGTAGCTTTAGATTGAAGCAGTTTGTCTTCGGATAGTTATGGAGATCGACAAGGGTTGGATAACAGCGTTTTAGTAGTTTGGCCATAAGTACTGCATTAGAGAATTCTCGTCTCATGTCCTTAAAAGTAATATCATTCTCCTTCAACCATTGCAGAACTTCACTGCGTTTCTCACTTAGTTTTTTACGTGGAGTTAGTATATTGCCAATATCTTTTGTAGTGTCACCTGTAACATCAACTGTAACGTCATCTGTAGAGTCACCTGTAGAGTCACCTGTACCATTACCCATTTTAGACAAAAATTCTAACAAAATAAAAATATATTTTTTAAAACACCACAAACTCAGACAGGGTTTTTATTTCAAGAAACTTTCAATAACAAATTTCAATAATTTATTTCAATTAGACTAAAGTAAAATTCTTCAAATTTTTCAGAGTCTACTTATTTAATTTTAAATATTTCATTAATATATTAATTTTGTATTGAATATGTACAACACATTGAATGCGATATCATGTTAAATCATTATAAATACCATGTATGGATGGCTTATTCTTTAAGGGACTTAGAATCATGTTTTACAAACTGTGATATGAGAAATGGATACGGCAATTTTATGCTCTTTTTGCTCTTATTCGCTACATGTTATATAGAGAGTTATATCACAAACGTCAGTTAACTACTTTTACTACTTTTGAGTGGATATGCTTTAATATCAGATGTTTTGAACTATAACTGAATGTAACCGAATGAAAGGTATTCCACCCAACAAATAATGGCCCCATCACACTCATTGAAGAAGTCCTATTAGAAACTTCCTAACAGATTAAGAACAGATATATACCAAGCAATGCTTTTTTGAATTTAAACTTTTACATTTAGTTTTGTGAAAGATTTCGTGTTTTCATTAGTGGAAAAATTCAATCAATTAAAGTAGTGTAAAGAACAAATATGAATTCAGTTGATCATTGTCTTCAGTTTCTCTGTCCAAACGCCCTTTGCTTGGTAAATATATGAACATTTTTTAAGTGTAAAAATGGTAACAAATCTGTAAACAAAATATTAAAAAAAAATGTCGAAATATTTTATTTTAAAACTTTATGAACGTCTCTATGGAATATCATCCGAATATATCATTCAAAAGCATTTACATGAAGTAATTACAACCAAGAAAAACACATCAAACCAGTTGTTACAGAAACTTAAAAAATTCGAATAATAAAAAAAAACAATTTTATTTTTCTACTACGAAATGAAGGAAAATCAATCAAAAGTTTTCCTTTTTTTTTTGAAAATCACTAAATAACAATGAAAAAACTGCTCCCACCCACTCAAGGGCACCCGAAATTTACTTACAAAGCACATGGTATGATGAAACCGCACGCATACATGCAACATGCAACACACAACATCAGACAAAAACAAATGACAACAGCAATCGGGCGGTGGGGAACAATAAAATGATGGAACATCACACACATCGATATTTATACATGCAACCCAAAAGGATAACAGGAAAAATAAATAAAAGAAACTCCCAAGAGTGGCTTCATGTTTACCTTCCCTTGAGTCTAAAGTAACTGAGCTTAACAGAGAAGAAAATAAGAGCACAACAAAAAAAAACCGAAACCAAAATAGGGAAGTTAAAATAAATCATTGCAAAAAAAAAATATAGGAAACAAAAATACAATAAACTCAAATGAAAGCAGTTACAAAAATACAACATATAAATTCTTTCATTTGTATCTATTAGATTAAAAAATATGTTAGAATGTATTTATTTTATTGTATTCGTACATACATTGTTTTTTTTTTTTTGGTATATTATATATGTACATACAAGCAGTATATAAAACCTGAACAAAACTTCAATTAAGTTACAAATACAAATAGAAAGCAACGATACCTAACATAGCTATCACTAATATATTATATATAATATCTATTAACAAAGATCATTACTCTATCAAACAAAGATCATTACTCTATTCACTATTCTAGTCATTTTAATTGTTAATAAGAATTTAACATTAAATGTTAACATAAATAATTACCAACAACAATATATATAATAACAGGACAATAAAATTATATCCCCTGATTTTTATAAACAACAGTGACAACAATAACATTAATAAGAAAAACAACAGTACAAGTTTTAAATGCAATAACATAAATATGTTAGCATAAAATAACATAATTATGTTAACATAAAATAACAAAAGCTATACCAAGAACAAAATGTTAAACATTAAATCTGCGATACTTAAACTATTTTCCTCTGTGTTCATACATATACCCTACACTTTATTTGATCTATTCGTTAAATTGTCTTTACATTACGTGTTGTTTTCTATTGTTTTTATTTTATTTGTACCTTAATAAATGTTGTGACTGCATATAGCATTGTACTCCAAATCATTTAGAGCATTCTTTCTCACTCTAACAATAACACTTTCATATGTAAGAAATTTTATTGCTTGCTTGTTGTCTTAAGTTTAAATCTGTTCGTGCTCTTTTACGCTTGCTCGCATTTGCTGTAACATCTTTTGCCAATTATAGCCACATTAAGTGGCTGTGTAAGCATACTCTGACCCTGGCACCGAAACAGCCCCGAATCCCACCCTCCAAAAGTACACTGTACTTCAAATAGTTGAAATGGCATTAGACGCGCCAACAAATTAGCGCGCTTTTCAAAATTCAATTTTTTTAAACATATGTGAGCTTAACGCTCTACATTGTTTATGTGTTTGATTTAAATGCTATAGCTATAGTTATATAGACAGATATGTGAGTGTGTGGATTTTCGCGCTGCTGTATATACAAGCATGTGTATGTGTGTACACATGTATGTTCGCATGCCACAGCTTAATATTTTGTGAATTAGTTAAACAGTGGGCAATCAATGTAAACGGATTCATTTAATTGCTTGCTTTTGATTTGAGTTTTATTGTTTTAAATTAATTTTAGCTATTAATTGCTGATTGTGTTTGTTCGAAAGTTTTTATAAAAAATTTATTAAATATTTTTAATTGAAATAAAATAAATTTTAAATATTTATTTATAACAATTTAAAATACTTTTTTAATAATTCAATATTAAAATAATGCAGGTAAACCTCGTTTATATATATTATAATTAAATACAATATTTGTTGTTAATGTTCTTAGATGCTTTGAAATTTTTTTATAGAATCTCTATTATATTATGCTGCACTATTATATTATTTTATTATTCTTCTTCACTAATATCTATTGATATATTATTTTATCATTCGCCGATTAAGACTTTTCGCTATATAAGTCGTGTGCGATCTCGAGTAAATTGAAATTTCCTAAGGATTTTTTGCACTGCACTTATATAAATATTTATTAATTTATTTATTGCACTTATTTATTTTATTTATTTTGGTTTAAAAGTTTTAAAATTTATTTATTTATTTATTAAACATCTTATAAAATTTTCACAATGGGAACACCTTATTTATATAAAATTTATTTAATTTACCCCAATTAAAATTCTGATAAATACCAAGATTCGCTGCCATACCGATATAATTAACTATTTCCTTAATTTTTTTTCTTTTTTTCTGTTGTGTGCGGCAGGGAGTACCTCAATCTATCGCAATCATTTTTAGAGATCTTATTCTACTCCTGGACTATGTTTATATTGCTTAATAGAGGTAGAGAAATTGTTTGGTAGGCATATATTAACTCTTCATTTTTTCTTCAGTTGTAGCAGTTTTTACACTTTTTTTGAATTTCGTTTTGTGAAATTAAATAAAATTAAAAATACAATCTTTATTATTGAAACTTGGTCAAACTCATTATCTTAACAAAGCATTAAATTACACAATCTAAACTAAAAAACTAAATGAAATACCTCATTGATAGAGATAAGCATAGAGTTCACATCAAAAATATATAAATGTTTCTAAGCTTCTGTTTTACATGTCATTTACAGAAAGTTTTTATAAATAAAAATATATTAATTTAATGTTTATTTTTTTCTTACCAAAGTGACATGTCTTTATTACGAAAAAAAACTATTTAAAAGGTCGACGGATTCGAATAGCAAATAAAAGACAAGGACAAAAATTTTATTTAATTTATTAAAATGTGCCTGACCATACAACGCTGTTTTGAGTATTTTCAAATACTCATCATTAGTGGTTTTAGGAAGTATTCGAATTTTTTGATAGGTTTATTGTCCGTATATAATTAGTTTGAGCTGTGAGTGTCAGTCTTAGAAGGCGTACCTTTCAAAGTAGAAGTGATGACTAATCGTGTTTATTCACAAGTAGTCAAGACTGCAATAACTTTCGGTGCTCTAGTTCCAGGTTTTTTTTTTACTTTTTTATTTAATTAGTAACACTAATCAAAGCACTTGCCGTCCTTTTTTAAATAAGAACGAGCTTATAAACTACAGCTTTATTTATAAATTCAACGAATAAATCAATAAAATTAGTTTCATTCCTAATTTTGCATTTTCTAGTTTATTATAATTTACAAATGTACAAAATTAAATGTAAGATATAAAAATATTTTGTTAAATCTTTTACTGATATTAATTCTCGTACAATTAAACACAATGTATATTTTAATTACATTTTAAAATTTTCCTAACCAAACAGTAATTGATATTATTCATTTCCGTATTGGTAAAAAAAACCACCCAAGAAGTTCATTAAACCCCAACTCTGACTTCATTGCATAAAACATAATAACAAGAAAACTAATCGTATTTTAAACACTCAATCTAAGCTTCTATGTTTTACTAGCAAAAACTATGTAAGAACAAATAATAAAGAAAAAATTATATTAATTAAAATGTATGTGTGCGTAAATGTAAATGCGATGGCAGATATTTACGCCTGCTTGCCTAAATACAGTATGTAAAAGGCAGCGATGCGTGTAAAAACAAACGCCTTAAAATGCCAGCGATAAGATGGTAACCTAATCCTTTACTTAGTTTTTTTTTCTCAGTTAACATTTTGCACAGTGTAATGTTATAAGTATAACAACAAATACAAGCAATAAAATGACAGTTACTAAAGGATTGCTAAACACACACAAAACCAAACACAAAAAACTAAACAGAAAAAACAAAAAACCAAAAACATGAGTAGAAGAAAATCAAATAAGAAATGAAGAGCAAAATAAATATGTAAAAATTTATTTCTGCTTTGCTTAACATATTTCATACTTGTCAAATTAACAAAACACAATGCAATGTGACTCCATTTAAATTTAATTAAATAACAACAACAATAACAACAACAGCGTCAACAGTATTAAACAGTAACAACAGTAGCGGCAGCAGCAGCAGCAGGAGCAGAAGCAGCAGGAGCGGCAGTGTGGCAATAGCAATAGCAAATGGCAACAGCAAATAAATTGAAATGAGAAAAAATTTGTTGTGAACATTTGTGCGAATGCGTTTTGTTAACCCCGTGTACTGCTCGTGTATTCAAATTTGTTTCTGCGTGTGTGTGTATATGTGTGTGCTGATGTTGTTTGGTTGGTTTATGAAATGGCATTGGTTTGATTTAGTTGGGTGGGGGCAACAAACAAGCATACAAGCATACAAGCATGACCATACAATATTTGTATGTGAGATCGTATAACTGCTTGTATTTAACAATGTAAATTGTTATTAGGCAGCACTCAACTTAAATGCTTAAAACGCTCTCTTTCGCTCGCTTCTGCGTAACATTACAATTAATTAGAAACAAAAACAAGTGGAAATATACCATCATGATTACTCTATACTGCTTTACTTTGTTTTGCTTTACAACAACAACAGCAACAAACATAACTACAGTACCAACGATATAAACAAAATAAAAAAAAATCAAACCAGTAACTAAAAATAAGGAGTAAGAAATAAAATAAAATGAGTAGAAAAATTATAAAAGAAAAAAATACATAAACCCCAAGTAACAAATAATAACATGAAAAAGTACATGTAAAAAATTTCACTCATCAAATTGTGAGCAACAGCAGCGGCAGCAGCTACTAATACTAATACGAGTTTACTGATGCCAACATTTGTCGACAGCAACAGTAACAGCAATAGCAACAACAATAACAACAGCAAAATCAACAAGAATCCAACAAGAACAAGAAAAACACAAAATCAGCTTAGTTAAAACATGACTATGGCCCACCCCTTTTATTTTTTCTGATTGTCTCAGCTTGTTTCTTCTAATTTTTCTTATTAATAAAGAAACACATGCATACATATACATACGTATATATGAAGAAAACAAACTGTTATACACAAGTAGAGATGTGTGTAAAAAGTGCTTATAGCTGTTTTTCTTATAATTTTTGTTGTTGTTTTGTTGTTTATGGCAACAATACCTCTACAAGGAGAGCAACAACAAGACTAACAACAACAACACCAACTACGTGGTATTTTACATCGACATGCAATAACAGCCATTTTTCTAGTTGTTAAGTTAATTTTTTTCATGTTCTCTTTCGCTCGCCCTGCTTTTCAGTTTAACCATACGGTTTATTAATGTTGGCATCAACTTGCATACACACACACACACACATACACACTTGCATACATATGTACATATCAGAGCATTAGGTTTGTAAATTTGTAACAAGACAATTCTTTCATTTCAGTTCAACACATTTGTGTGTTGGGCAATTTTTTGTTTTTATTTGATTTCATGCGCATGCTATTTCATTCTAATGCATGCAAGCTTACTTGTAGATACTTTATTTATGGCCGCAGATACAAGGTATCTTCTATAGTTTTCTTGTTTTATTTTTATGGAATATTTTTAATTTTGCTTCCTTGCATGCTGATTTTTTTGTTTTTGTTTGAAGTATGCTTTTTGTTCGTTATGCTATGTACGTTCCACAGCGCAACCGGTTCAGTTCAATACAGTTCAGTAAAGTTGTGCCGCGGCAGCCAGCCCACTTTATTATTATTATTGCCTTGTTACGGTGCTGTGTTGTGCGTTGTTATACAACTGTATGCTATTGTATTTTGTGCTCATACGCTTTGTGTTTGCTGTTGATTTTGTTGTATTCGTTAGTATTCGTGAGTTAAAATCGTACTGCATAGCTGGCCAAAACAAATGTATATGTGCTCATTCATGCTTATGGACGAAGAGAACAGTTTATTTCACTGAGAGTTGGTTGAATTAAATTTTGTGTGCTCTTTCCGGTAAGAAAATTTGAGCATAATTTTGCGCTCCTTATTGAAATTGGTATGTGTGAGTGAATCTCTTTGGTGGGTTTTTGTTGGGAATATATAGATGTGTGTGTGAAATTTTTGTAGTTGTTTTTGTTTTTTTTCTTGTTTACTACATTGATTCTCCGTTGCATGTAGTACACTCCTTATTTGCTGTTTGGTAGTTGTTAATAAAGCTGCTGCTACTGCTGCTGTTGGTGTGTTGAGTTGTGTGTTGTGTTGTATGTAATTCCCATTTGTTGTACATTTTGTAGTTGCTCATGAAAACTCATGTTAGTCTACTTTTGACTGTTACGCAGATTGTTCGTATTATTCGTGCCGTTCGCTCGCTTAACATTCTGTTGCTGTTGGAATAAAAGTTCGTGTACGTTTTATTGTGAACTATACTATTCAATCGAACAATAAAAATTCTGGATTATCAAAAACAAGACTTACGCTAAACGGTAGTTGAACAAGTTTTCTTAAGCCCGGTGCAAGTTTGAAACATTCTTAATTAATTATATATTGATTTTTTTTACACTTTACATTTTAAAATCAAAACAAATAAGCGACGGTATTTTAATATTTTGATATTACAAGTGCATAAAAGTGACTGCATAAAAAGTTAATTATACGAAAATAACTTTTTAATGCTTAAATTATTTTTAATAAAATAAATAAAAATTTTTTGAAAAATATTTATTATTGACAGGAACAAATGTCAATGAGTTAACAGTTTAATTAAAGCCGCGAATTGCTCAAAAGCCAGTGAAAACCAAAACAAAAAAAAAATTTTTTTAAATTTATTAATTAAACAATTATTTTGTATACCAAAGCTTGGAAATTTATGTTCTTCCTACAAATTTGTTAAATGACAGTGCACAGTAATGACATTGGTGTGTGTTTAGTGATGGTGTGTATAACAATTTTTTAATTAATTTTTTAATTTTTAAATATTAATATAACTAACTTATACGACTTTCTTACAATAACAAAGAAAAAATTTTATAAAGTCAATTTCAAATCACATATTTTACTAGTTTTCATATCTATTTCGAATTGTGTTGCTCAGTATTCGTAAATTTAATATTGGTTTTTGGGAATTTGCTCACTTTTTTTTAAATACTTTGTTATTACGTAACAAATGTGACCAATTAATTAAATACTTTAATTAAAAACAATTATTAATTGTATTCCATAAGACAACTGCGCCAGTTAAAATAGCCCGAGCGTAACAATAACTGTTAGTGATGCTTCTTCTTTACAATTATTGTCAAAACAAACTATATATCTTTAGAAGTTAATAAGATTTCGTAGTTTAATATGCTTCTTCTTATAAAATATTGTTATAAAAGCTATATGTCTTTAGAAGTTAATAAGATTTCACAGTTAAAGATGCTTCGTCTTTTCAAATATTGTCGTAACAAACTATATATCATTAGAAGTTAATAATATTTCGTAGTTAAAGATGCTTATTCTTTTCAAATATTGCTATAACAAACTATATATCTTTAGAAGTTAATAAAATTATCAAATACTCTTATAACAAACTAAATATATTTAGAAGTTAATGAGAGTTCCTTACTTTTCTATATATATGCATATATATTTTTACATTTATATTTGAAAGATATTATTTTTGAACGAATAGAGGAATATCCTATGATCTATTTAAAACTATAGAGCAGCACAAAAAACTTATTTAGATAAACTTTTCGAAGATTTTAAGTACTGTACAATATTGTACATGAGTGAACAATACCATCCTATGATTTACACGTGCTGTCCTTTATATATAAGATGAAATTTCTTCAAAGAAAGGTTAAGAGCTTAGAAAAGATTTAATATAAGATAATAATACATAACTCCTCTATTACATATATATGTAATAATACTTCCGATAGCACATTGTTACGGAAAGAATAGCACTGTTTTCTTCTATGATGCACATAGTTGTTATAAGAACAAAGTTATTTTCAGAAACATGAGTATATTTGATCAAAAAGCACTTAGAAAAGATATAAAGCTCAAAACAACATTTTTTCTAGAGACGCTTAAATGATTTTAGACTTCAAAGTAGTGTAGTTCAAAGTAGTTCTATTGAAACAAAACAGTAGAGTTGTTCTTTTGCGTACAAATTAGAGACTTTAGCAAGAGACTTGTTTTTTTGCTGCATGTCGAAGCTCCGCATACACCTATTATAATATTAATGAAAGTATTTGAACTGTAAAATCTTTCGTTATAATAAGAAGAAAACTTTTTACAGTAATAGTGCAGATTTCTAAAATAACAATTATAAAATATATGAAGAAGTTTAACTAAATATCTAAAATAGTCTTGCTAACGTAAAGTTAAACATACCATATATGAACATATAATAATTAAATTACTTTTTATTAAGTTTTCAAAATTATAATTTAGTAGTTTTTAAGCACTTAAAGCTTTAAATTAATAAACCTTAAGAAATTATATTAAATTTCTTGATAAGTATTACTCATTACAATTACGGGTTAAGATTAATATTTAGAAAATTTGCATTATGATTAAGTTTTACAAGCTTGTCATTATAAACACTATAATGTTAGTTAATTTTTTCATTATTGTCACTTATAAGTTCATTAAATTGTGTTTATAGTTAATAAAGCTTTTAAATCAATTATTACCTATTGATATTATGCCTACATGTAGTATAGTTGTAACTCCGACGCCATAACTCATATGTGTAAAATTAAAATTTCTTGAAGTCGATGTCTTCGTGTCGCAATGTTAAGTGTCCAATTTAGATATTGTTTCTTAGTCATTTAGTTTTTATAAAATATATAAATTAAATATTAATAATATTATTAACATTAATATTGGCATTAAGATAGTTATTGTAATGTTGAACGATAATTTAATGTTTATTCTCCTATAAAAGAAAAAATTGCTTGCTTTATAGTGTAATATAAATGAAATCTGAACATATCTTACATTGACAGTTATTAACTAATTACATTTGCAATTCTAAAAGGATCAAATGAGGAATAAAAAAAGCATTAAATTATAAACTTTAGACGGATTCGAATAGCAAGAAAAGATAAGAACAAAAATTTAATTAATTTATTGAAATTTGACTGATCATACCACGCTGTTTCGAGTATTTCTTGTATTCATCATACAAATACCGTTGTATAGTTAGACAAATTTCAATAAATTAACTAAATTTTTGTTTTTGTCTTTTCTTTGCTATTCGAATCTTTTAAAAATAGTTCCTTATCGTCGTTAGAAAATTAGCTTTCGGTAAAAATAACAAACTTTAAAATAATTGTATAATAATACAATTTTTTTAAAAAACATTAAATTGTTTCAGAAAAATAACAGGTCGTTTATTTGCTAGAGAGTAAGCAATAAAACAGCAAGTCTATTGTTAAAGTGTAGTATAAATAGTAGTAATACTGTTAATATAGATTTTAATATTAAATAAAAATAGTTTTTTTACTTTAACAATTAATATGATATTTTTAATAATGAAATTTACTATATTTACTATTTTCATTGATAATTAAATTTACTTTTGGAAACGGCATTATTCTTTGTAAGCTATTGTTGAAGTCAATAAGATACTTATAATCATCAAACTTACTATATTTACTATCTTTCTTAAAACTTTAATATATTTTAATATATTTATGTGAAAAATAAAAATTTAAATTGAATCAACAAATGACCTCAAAATAAATGCTTTTTTAATAAATAATAAAAGTAATTGAAAACTCTTTGTGAATAGATGAAGTTCTTGAATTGTATATTTTTTTAACATATCGTTAATAATAATTATAATTAACTTATTATAATTAATAATGATAAAAGTAATAAATATTAACATTTCAATATTTTTTGACGGGGTATAATAATATAAATTTTACTCTATATTTTACTTAGACGATAGTATATCATTAAAAGCTGTGATAAAAAACATGTAATTCAAAAATTAAAAAGAATTGACATTTATTATTTAAAAAAAAAAATTCTAAGTATATTATATTATGAATAATAATTCATTACATTTTATTAGAGTTCATTACTTGGACAAACGTCGAGATATTTAAATTGATATCGTTTTTATATAGAATATGGTCAGTAGTCGGTAATAATTCTTATCAGAAATGTTTTCTGTTTTCACTATAAATGCAAAATGTGTACAGAGTAGATGTGTACAATGTTTTTGTTATTTTACTAGTCCGATAATATCATAAAATATGCAAATAAATAATTAATATTAATCACTCAAATCACTAGTAAAACATTTATTTAATTTTTAAATTTTTTATTTGCATTTTAATTGAAGTTAATTATGTGTCAGACGTTAGTTTTATTTATTAGTTTTTATTTAGAATTTTTTTGTAAAATAGTCAATAACTCATTTATGAGTATAACTTGTTCGAAGTGGTTTCGAGGTAGTGTTGTTTGGCTCAGCCGTTACATTCTAGTAATCAAGAACTTATATCAGTTATAGACGAAAATGTGTATGTATATACGTTTATGTTATATTTATAACTAAGAAAAATTATTGTTAATATTCAATGAATTTTATTTAAAAAATTACTGAGCTTTACAAACTATTTGAAGATGATAGTTACGTTATCTTAGTTCTATTGTTACAACAAAATATTATTTTATCTTTTTTTTAATACAAAACTATTCTAATCATTTCAGTTCCAGAATTTCTAGTAATTACAGAATTTTTTACTCTATTCCAAGCATTGACTAATATTAAAAATTATAAAATATTTAAAACTGATTATGATCATAATCATTTGGCTATATAGGTCATTTTGATCTATTTTGGTTTAATTTTGGTGTAACTTTGATATATATTACAATTTACTTTCATTTGGGTTTTACACTCCAAAAATCTCTCCAGTTTATAATCCCTGTTCTCTGTTTTAACAGTTTACAAACCATCTTAGTCAAGGCGGTGTTTTATTTTTTATTTTTAAAAATTTCATTATGTGTACATATACTATCCGCAACAAATTCTAAATCTAAGAATTTCCATTCTCTCTAATTTCTCTCAACAACTTCAAGGCATCAAAATCATCTTTTATTTTTGACGAATACATTATGCGTATATGTCCTATATTTACCGTCTGAAAACAATTATCATTGACCGTTTTAGCCAGTATACAGATTTCTAAAATATATTAATATCATATTTTTCCAAAACAAAAGGTTTTAGGCAAAGGTTTACCTACAAAGGTATCTATCTCTAAGATTTAAAACATCCTGCATTTCATCAGAGCTTAAAATTGATGCTTTGAGTTAAGGTCATGTGTTGAACAATGGCATCGCAATGGATCCTTAGGTTCTAACTGTGTTACTTACATTTAATTGTAAAATAATGTCCAAAAATTTTAACAATGCAGAAAATACAGTATCCAGAGATTTTTTATTTGACGTAATTAAAACTGAAGGTCTTAGTAAAGGCTCAGCTCCATCTAGTAACGTAGAGAATTAATAGGTCTATGTGTGGCTTATAACCAGCCAGGTAAACTTAACCTAATCTGTAACCCTAACAGTTAGAAAGTTTTTTAATTAAATTTTAAATTTTAATTGAATTTGTATGTAATACTTTTGGATTAGTTTGGATCAGATTGTCCCGCTGGTAACATGAAATTTTTCAAAAACAAAAAAATGAATAATAATTCAAGGTATCGAAAATTATATTTATTAAATATTTTTTACATTTAAATTATTAAATAGAGGAGGGATATTAATGTATTTGATAAAAAAGAAAACCAAAGCGCTTATTATAAATGTAGCGAATTCTAAAATATCATAATAGCCCGTTTTATGTCGTGACTGAGTTTGTATCTTACAAGCTACGGAATTATAAATTTTAATACCTTCTTAAAAGTCACATTTTGCTACTTT